GGGGATTCTAGGCAGGGGCTCTACCACTGAGCCACGCCCCCAGCCCCCTCACTGGGGGATTCTAAAGGCAGCATACTCAGAGTGTAGTGTGGTAGACACAGGTTTAACATATAAGCCTAGAGAGAAGGGTCACTAACTTCCAGGTCCCAGTGGAATCAGGGCACTGTTATCTTCACGGCCCACTCCTCGCTCACTCCAGCCCCACACACCACAAACTCTCACTCATACAACTCCCCACACACACATCCGACCAACTCACGTGACTATACGCTCAGCATCTCACTAGCAAACAAATCTCCTCACCACATGTTCGCAGACACTAGCCAAAGTGTAGAAAAAAATCAACGTCTTCTCGGACATCCTTCCCAGGAAGAATGCAAGAATGCCTTGCCCGAGGCATCCACGATCCAGCCGCTAAATCGATAATTCGGACACCATGTGATAGGGGTTCTAACAGGCATCCTGCAAAGGATTCTGGGAATGCAGAGGGAAGAAAAGTTGGCTTTCTTTTTTTTTCTTTTTAAAATTTCCACTGATACGTTTTGATTAGTAAAAGAAACCCTCTTTTTAGATCTCACAACCTTGATTCGACATTTTTCCAGCAGCCCAGAAAAAAGGAGACACGTGACACCACCCCTGGGAGAAAAAGGAATGTGTCTCATTTAGAGCAATCACCGTACATGAATACCATTATGGATGGCAGAGGGTTTAAATGACAAAGCTGGAGCAGAGAAATGGCTCAGTGAGTAAAGGTGCTTGCTGACAATCTAAGTTCGATTCTTGGAACCCACCCACATATGGTAGAAGGAAAGAATCCGTTCCTAACCATGCCCTCTGACAAACACGTCATGGCGTGTGCACTCCTATGCACAAACATATACTCACACACAAATGAATTTTTACAATGTACATATGAAGCCGGGCGTGGTGGCACACACCTTTAATCTCAACACTCAGGAGGCAGAGTTCTAGGCCAGCCTGGTCTACATAGTGAGTTCTAGGCCAGCCAGAGCTACACAGAGAGACCTATCTCAAAGTGGGTGGGGCACTAGAGAGAGAGCTCAGATGCTAAGAGCACTTGTTGCTGTTCATGACAACCGTGGTTCAATTCCCAGCATCCAAATGGCAGCTGACAGCATCTGTAACTACAATTGCAGGGGAAGTTATCCGCTCTGCCGACACTGCACATATGTGGGTTACAGACATAGACAGACACACATTCGCATAAAACAGGAAGTCAAAGAGAGGTTTTCCTTTTTTTTTTTTATTTATGAGTACACTGTCGCTGTCTTTGGACACACCAGAAGAGGGCATCCAATCTCATTATGGATGGTTGTGAGCCACCATGTGGTTGCCGGGATTTGAACTCAGGACCTCTGGAAGAGCAGTCAGTACTCTTAACCGCTGAGCCATCTCTCCAGCCCCAGGTTTTCCTTTTTTAATGGAAGATTTGATTTGTTTTTATTTTATGTGCATTGGTGTTTTGCCTGCTTGTATGTCTGTGTGAGAGTGTCTAAACTCTGGAACTGGAGCTACAGACAGTTGTGAGCTGCCGTGTGGGTGCTGGGAATTAAACCTGGGTCCTCCCGAAGAGCAGTCAGTGCTCTTAACCACTGAGCTATCTTTCCAGCCTTAAAAAGTTATGTTTTTTTTTTTTAAAGATTCATTTAGCCGGGCAGTGGTGGTGTACACCTTTAATCCCAGCATTTGGGAGGCAGAGGCAGGCGGATTTCTGAGTTCGAGGCCAGCCTGGTCTACAGAGTGAGTTCCAGGACAGCCAGGACTATACAGAGAAACCCTATCTCGAAAAACCAAAAAAAAAAAAAAAAAAAAAAGATTCATTTATTTTATGTATGTGAGCACACTGTCGCTGTCTTCAGACATACCAGAAGAGGGCATCGGATCCCATTGCAGATGGTTGTGAGCCACCATGTGGTTGCTGGGAATTGAACTCAGGACCTCTGGAAGAGCAGATGGTGCTCTTAACCATTGAGCCATCTCTCCAGCCCCCCAAAAGTTTTTTTTAATGTAAATGAAAAATGTTGAATGTGTTTCACGCACACAGAAAAATATACAAATCAGCTCTGAGCACACCAGGCCATGGGCAGTCACGATTGCTGAGGAATGACAGGTACCCAGGGGACTTGTTTCCTCAGTTACTCATTCCTTAGCCAAGGGGACAGATGCTGAGAACTGTGTCACGGAGTTGTGCTCACACCACTGGATGGTGATGACTTACTGCATGATGTCATCTGTGGGAACTGGAACATAGATGTAGTTCCTGTAAACAGAACCGTCATTATAGAATACATTGCAGGAGATTCTCAAGAGACTTCTTTCTCTCTTTCTTTCCTTCTTTCTTCCTTCCTTCCTTCCTTTCTTTCTTTCTTTCTTTCTTCTCTTTTAATGTGTGTGTGTGTGTGTGTGTATCCGGCCTGTGAGTGCTCTCAAGGGGACCCCAGCCCCTCACTGGGAGATTCTAGGCAGGGGCTCTACCACCGAGCCATGCCCCCAGCCCCTCACTGGGGGATTCTAGGCAGGGGCTCT